GGATCAACTTGGCTGCTATGTCAATGGCCAGGCTTTGGCAGTGCGTTCGAAGGATCTCGGGTGCACAAATGACAATGCTATGTTCCCAGCTTTCCTGATGAATTTCGCACTGGATCCAATGGTTGTCCCAATTGAGGAAAAGCAAGGTGGAAGCGAAGCCAGAGATATCACACTTGTAGTCATTATAGAACTCAATCGTGTGGTTGATCCTGTTCCAGGCAGCCGGAGGTGCAAACAAGAAATGAGGTGCGCGATCTCGCATGCGGTCCAGCAGGTAGTCGAGGGTATCCGAGAACAACCATCCCGGGTTGTCGATGCAGGCTTGAAGTCGCTGGAGGATCCTGTCATCTTGATTCGTCTGAGTGAAGCCATCACGGTTGGTCGGTTCACTAGGAACAGTGAGGCCTGAACGCGGAAACTCAAATGAGCTAGGAGCGGATCCAGTGTCGGCTTGGATGGGCCCAAACGAGACTTGGATCGGATGTGCAGTGACGGCATCAACATGTCTGGCCTGAAGTGCGAGCCCGATAAAGAACTGAAGGCGCATGTTGTAGGCAAATCCACGAAGGGCAGCGTCCTGACTAGCTGCCAGCCAGTGAGTCTGCGCTGCTGCTTGGACTTGGTTGATGACTTGCTGCTCATTGGGGGTCAGAATGGACCACAGATAGCTCTGATCCGGAAGGTAATCAAGAGCCTCAGCTTGGGCAAACAAGCGGAAGAGAAGGGTCCAACCGCACATATGGGGAGTAGCCAGCACGAAGTCAAACGTGAGCTGAGCCCGATGAGGAGCGACATCGAGAAGGCGACAAGTGATCAAGGCAACTCGCTGAGCATCAGACTGAGACAAGCCACTTACACTAATGCGGACACGATTCGAACGCCTTGTGACCTGGACCAAGGCCCAGTGTGATCCAACGAGAAGGACAAGACAAGACAGTCCGTTGGGAGCAAAGTGCATCTCCCCAAAGGGTCCCTCTTCAAATTCCACAAGACCAGGCCGCCACAACTGAATTCCAAAGGATTGGAGGAACTCGGGAGCAAGCTGTTGAAGGAGTGTGAGGCAAGCCAAGATTTCATCAGACGCAGCCCATCCATGCGTTTGAGTCGCAAAATCGGCACGCTGGCTGAATGAAGCACCAGCTGGAAGGGGATCAACATGATTAGTGGTGTGATGCCCTCCCACAAGGACTGGAGCCTCAGCTTTGGCAACAGTGAGGATGTCACCAGTGTGGCAATAGACACGGTCCTCGACGATTGGATGGTAATTGTGCATCACAAGACGGTGTTCTCCAACAGGTGTCACGCACTTGGTGGATGCCGACAGAGTTCGAGGTACGGATTTGACATGGATACCTACCGCATCAGCGCTAGTGGTGATGATGACAAGGGCATCCGACGAGCGATCAAATTCCCTGACAAGAAGGAGAGGTCCATTGGCAACTCGCGGCAATCTGACAGGGCTGATGTAGACTTGGTACTTTCTTGGGAAAAGCTGGTCAAGCAGCGATTGTAGACAGCCAATGGGATCATCACGAACAATCTGAATGTTGTAGATCATCGCAGGCCTTTCCCACGCAAGAGCAGCAGAGATAGTGACATCCTCGGTGGTGCGCATGTTCTTGTAGTGCTGTTCAACGAATGAAAGGGCTTCGATGAATGTCGGGGTCTGTCGAATTTGCTCAAAGGTCAGGGAGGCACACACAATGTCGATATCGTCAGTCTCTTCACGAGCTGTGAACGGGATGGTGGCTGAGACGACCGCTTCCTCAGGAGGAATGACTTCGGAGAAGAGTTGGCCTCCTCTTGACAATTCAGCAAAAGCAGACTCCCTCCATTTGCACAAAACACTAGCATGTTGCCTCAGAACCTGATCAATGTTGCTGCTGCCAGGAATGTTGCACTCAGTTGAGACAAAAGTGATCTCACGTTCATCGACCTCACTGAAGGACAGGGTTTGGCGTACCGCATCATGCAACGTGGCACTCGTGGGAACACTCGTATCCCTGGAGGCAGAGCCAGCCAACTTGGTCAGCCTAACACAGAGGTAGGCCTTCTCGGGGTTGGGCAACAGGAAGTAGCGGAAATCAAGATTCTTCAAGAACTCATCAAACTTCTCGACAGTGACCCAACTCTCGTGCCTGTGGACAATGGCGTTGGCTGACGTCATACGATCATTCCAAGCATCACGAATGATTTGGCTGAGGGTGACCGAAGTTTGCTTAAGTGCAATGAACCCAATGGACAAGGCAAGGAGCGCATGGGGCTGGGCAATGGAATTACCAAGCAGGTGGAAAGCCTGTGCGACCGAGCAAGGCAACACAATACGATCGGTGGTTCCTAGCAATGGTACAAAGGTCAAGGGGCTCAAAAACTCGAAGTCGGAGCCACACTTGACAAGGCAGGCAAAAATCCCCTTTTCGGAGATGTGGTCGGCATCGAGATGGTGCTGCGTGGTGTACGAGCTGCACAGGGTGGGCAGCGGCTCTCCTGGCGGAGGGATGCGCTTGGTCAAAACCTCATTGCATGTGCCAGACTGGAGGCGAGCTCTTTTGGCAGGTGGCAACATCTGAGGGTCACCGTATCTAGAAAGGGCATGCTGGTCGAGGATGAGTTGCTCACGAATGCAATCAGGAACCCAAAACTTGTTTAGGTCAGAATTCCACCAAGTGAGGGGTGGTGCTCTTGGGATGACTGTGGCATGGATGGGATCACAGGCCGAGTCCTTGCGCCTCCAAACAGCAAGCCAGCGAGTTCTTGAGTTGTGCGTCAAGTTGTTGAGAGGCACAACCTGTTGCCACACTTGGTCATAACCAATGATTCGGAGGGCTGCTTTAAACAGTTCGAAATGATCATGTGTCATCACTTCATCTGCGCACTCAAGGAAAATCAGCAAGGGTTGCTGGACCTCAAGTGTCTGTACAGCATCGAAAGCGGCAAACCCAGGTGTGCAGTTCAATCCTTCTCGCTTTCCTCCTCTTGACCAGGATACGCATGGTGGCGACACTGTGGCGATGGTGTTCGTCGGCCACAAGCAACGCCTCAGGCATGTCTTGTCTTGGACTGCTGTGCAAATGCCTATGTGCTCCGTGGGGTCCCATGTGGACAGCGCATGTGTAGCTCCCACATAGTGTTGATACCCATGCTGTTCAGACCAGGCCTCCAGCACCATGGGGTCTGCATCGACACTAACTTGAGAGCCACAGGAAATTCCTTCAACGTGATCATGGAGCCAGCTGAGGGCACGAGTCCATCCACAGTAGCCGCCTGCAAAAAGGTGCAAGGCGTTGAATGGAAGATCACGGTCGAGGCATGGCCTATGCAGAAGGATGACATCTTCAACAAAGGTAGTCTCCATGCAACCTTCCACAACTTTCCCATAGATGATGATCTCGGACCCAACCTGGAGCTTGATAGGTCGCCTGCTCAGGCTGGGAATGATCACACCCACTTTATCAGCACTGTCAACTGATGTCACAAAGCCCTCCCAGGGAACAAAGGGCTTCCGCTGTAGCTGAATGTGGTCGGCGCTCAGGTTCACAATGTACCCCACCATGCACACCGCGCCCTCAGTCGTGAGACATGGGCAGCGACTCCGGTGTGCATGGAGGAACTCACGAAACGCGGCCAACCGATGCTGGGTGAGCATCCCATCAGCTTTCTGCAGAAGCTCAAACCACGGGTCCATGGCTCGAATCAAAAGGATCTAAAGCCAACTCGAACGCAAGCGAGATGGCTGAAGAGCCTTTATGGACGTCCAACCCCTTCCACTGAAGGAAGGCTATCGGACCCTGGGGTCTCGGAGCTCCCTGAGCCCTCAGGCTTTGAGCCCAGCAGGCTGGATTGTAAAACCTCTTCACTCCTGGGGTGGTTATTTGATCAAGGGTTCACAGTAGATTCATTACAATTCATGTACACCGAGCAGGGAGAGCTTTCCACTTTGTGATCCGAGTGCAGGAGGCCTAACCGCCCGCTGTCGTGTCAGATAGCTCAGAACGAGGTTCGAAGTTTGGGAGCTCTTCCAAGCGAGTGGACGGTTGACATATGTAGACTGTTCATGAAACCCTCCGGACTGGTGACTGGAGATGCTTTACCACCCAGCATACGGGCCAAACGGGGGGTCTGATGCATCAAGTCTACATCTGTCTGCCGTTCTCCCAAGTTTGCCGTGAAACCCAACGACAGCCAGTCAGCCAGGCGAACGCCTATGTCCGTGGAAGCCTCTGGACGAGTCCATGACACGAACAGCAAACCAAACGCCGACCGAACGAAGGAGTCCTCTCAACCAGCTAATGAGAAGTCAGGTCATGCCATGCAATGCCACACTGCAGAGAATTGCGCAGAGAATTTCGATGTCTGACTGCAGCCGTCCTCTTCTTGTTGGCTCTTGTGTATACGTTTTATCATTTTTCTCCATCTTTTCCTGCACAGGAAAATGCTTTTGTCTTCCCCCCTTTCTTCCCGAACACCTCACCGGAGCCGCCCCACCGGAGCCGCTCCACCGGCCGCGCCGGTCTCGCATTGACCGCCCGTGGAACGGCCGTGGATTCAACGGAGAGTAAGCGAGGAGCGGGCGACGGGAGCTGGCGAGGAAAAGCCCCGTTTGTTTGGAGCAACGTCATCCAAAAGATGTGTAGAATGCACAAGAGAACGCACAAGAGAACGCACAAGAGAACGCGAAGGGATCGCAGTAGCAGTCGAAGTCGGCACTTGCGACTGCTATACTGAAGGTACAGTACAGCAACAATCGTGAGAGTAAATTTCAAATCTCAGTTGAGTTGATGCAAGCACCGCTCTTTGATCCCATGATGTGCATTCTTCTCTGAAGTGGATGTCCGGGGATAACATGACTTGAATAAAACGAATGGTATTGGTCCGCAGATTCTGACCATTCAAAGACACAAAGCAACATTTGACATGGTTCCAAAAAGTTTTAAACCACACAGAACTAGAAAAGGAATGACACCTCAGAGATGTCACCTCCTGACGGCTAAGACTGGGACGAATCCTGTGGCTAAGAGCTGCCACTTTTCGTTCCCGCGGATGCCGAATTGCCTGACCCGGCCGTGCACCGATGCGGCCGTGGAATCGAAGCGATGCAGCCGATGCGCAGTAGTAGAGCACCCCCCCGGACACCGAAGGAAGCGGAGGATGGGCCCGGGAAGTGGTCTTGGTTTCTCCGCATGTCATGGACATTGAGAATCATTGAACATCAGTTTGACCGTATATTTACCGCATGGTGGTTTCTCCCATCATCATGGGCATATATACTGTTTTTTTGCATACCTAACTTGGTTTGGTTGGAGGACTTCTGGGTAAATCCATCACCAAGTGGCCATAGCATGTCATAGACTTCATGGTTTTTACCATGGCTTAAACACGGCGTGTATATGTGTAAATATATGTGTACTATATACCTAGAACCTGAGTGACCCCTGTTTTTGGAGTCAAAACATGTGTTTTTTCACCTCTTTTTCCTATCAAAACAACGGCCATGATCATGGCCATGTGATGGGAAAAAGCCGCCTTCAACATGGAACCCTTCACTCGGGTCCCTCCGGATGTCAACCGAGTCGGTCCGATCCTGTTCGGGTCGCGTTCGACGGGTCGCGTCGACGCGGGCCTCGTCGACGTGACAGGTCCCATTTCGGACACAAGACCCAGACGCGACGAATGGGAGTGCCATAGGACTGCCGCCCCATTGACCTCCCTGGCACCACCCCCAACTGATTGGCAGTCCTGCAGTCCGAGTGGAGATGGAACTCCCAGACACTCGGACTGAGTTCGGACTGCCGCATGGATGGGTCTTCGATTTTTGTTGTGGAGCATATGACAAGCGAAACACATGTCTGGATGGGTCATGCTTCATCCCGGGGTCAATGCATGACATGTCTGGGGAAGAGAAACAAAGCTCTTCCGGTCCGGATGGGCTTCTCTGGGCTTCTCACCGACCGGTGGACACCGGCGATGGCGCACGATATCGCACGATGCCGCTGCCTGTTGCGCACCATGCGACCCACGGGACTTGTCACCTGGGGAATAGAAACCAAGTAGATAGTCAGAAGAGCAGAGAAAGGGGCAGAAGGTTCAGGAAGTCACCAACAAAGCTGCAGTCACTTACTCATTCCAGAATCCTTGGAGCCTTCTTGGGAGGGGGGTCACAATCTGACCTCTGTCTGGGTCTGAACACAAACCAACCCCTTTCCATTGGCGAAACGGGCCTAGATTCGCAGGGAAGCTTCGTAACCAGGTGCGTGCCCATCGTGACCCCATCGGCGCGAGGGCCAAACCCATCGGCTGGAGAGGGTGGCATGGCTATGTCAAAGAGATGAACCGTTCTCATGGTTGGCTGGGCTGTTGACGTTTTGGATGGACATGCAGCAATTCATGGCAATTCTCACAGTCAGAAACCCTTTGACCGGCTGTTGACCATGGGCTACAACATTGCGGCCCGACTCAACAGGATATGGCAAAGCGCCTTGACGCAGGCCCGGACAAAGAGCGACCAAAGCTGGACCAAAGGGTGGGGAACATGGATCCACTTTGAGTCGGGCACTCCCTTGAGAAGATTCGATCGGTTTGAAGGGATCTCAGATCTTAAATTGGAGGTGTTGAGGTCTACTTCCTTGCAACATGTCACCCCAAAAATCCATGAGCAGCTTGGCGCCTATGTTTGACTGGTGAGCACTTCAGAAGCTTGAAATTGCTGTGTTCCTTTTTGGCGAAACACACCCCACTCCAACCCAGCTAAGGTGAAGACAGGGTCTGACAGTCGCACCAACCTCCGGGGGAGTTACTGCGATGGAAAAATGGAGGCACCGCTTTACAGGTTGGGTTTGTGTGAAACCAATGTCAGAGCTTTACCCGGGCACTCCATGGGATTGGCATATTTATACATTGGGGTGGTTGACCTGGGGTGAATGTAGAGGAAAATATGCCAGTCCCATTGAGTTTCTGGGAAAGCTATGGCAAGGTTCGTGGAACCACTGTTGCCACTGAACGCATGAAAAATGCTAGTTTGATGGTCAAAATTTCACCGATGGGTGCATGTTCCATGGACAGATGCGGTGCGAACTTGTGCTCATCGCGGGAAGTCCACTTGGATGAAAGAGCAGGTACAAAGGGACCTCAACCGTGAAACTTTGAAACCTCTTGGGATCCAAAGTGGAAATCGATGGTGCAACTATATATGTATTGGTACTGAGTGCCATCTAAAGCAGTACTTCATCGCGCCATGTTCACCGGGGTTCCTGATCATCGTGGTACTAAAACCCTTTGGGTGTGGTTATCATTCTTCTTTTGGGCGGGGACTTGTTCTACTTCCAGCAGTTTGGGGATCATTGTAGAGGAAATGCAATGTTGCGGGCGCAATGCGGCGTGTCTGTCCTTCAAAAAAGCAACTTCGGCAGCAGGACTGACACTTTTAAAAAACAGCTGTCGTAGCAGTTATTGGAAGAAGTCGTGCAGATTTCATGGCAAGAGCAGGATAGTGGAGGAAATAGTGTGGCGCTGGAGAGGGGCTGGCTGGGAGGGTGCAGCGCCTCCCCCGAGCAAACAGAAAAACTTCGAGTGATCTCCGCTATAAGAGGCGATATAAAAAGAAGGCAGAGCGCATGTATTGACAGACAATCCGCCTGACACAACAGCAAAAGCAACATCAACAAAGGCAACAAAACGGCAAAGCAACACACGCAACATAAATATACACCACGTTCCAAGTACAAGGCGGAACTCAAATTTACGGAGAGCAGCAAAAAGAAAACAAGCAGCAACATCAAGCAAAAAAGCAAACAACCACAGCAAAGCAAAACCGACAAAAAGCTGCAAAACACAAATAGAACATAACAAATAAACAGCAAACACGTTAAAACATGCCCATCCAAATCCGGTTGTCGTGTGGCCCAGTTGGCCTTCCTGCCTGGAAGGGTACCACAACGTCCACCAAACCCTGCTGGGCTGTTCAAAAGACCCAACGAACGAACAGTGAACCCTCCGTTTGTGTGGCACCAAACGTTACAAAGCACTAACTAAGGCCTGAGTAACGGTGCATGTCAGAGTCCACAACTCTTTTTCTCGCTTATTATTTCAGCGGCAAATGCCCAGTTACCTTACAACTCAAACCAGGCTGATTCCTCCTCTAGCTATGTAACTTGGAAAACATGATAAACATAGAAACGGTCAATATGCAGGACCCACAGCTCATAAGCAAGCTGTTCATGCCGCAGTTGCTTGGGATGGCATCCGATGTTTTAAGCAAGGGCCTCAAAAACAGCTGTTCCACACTGAAGATGCAAAACACATGGGATCCTTCCCTATGAAAGATGCTCTATTCTTGAACGCTTACATGGGGATTGAGCAAGATTCGTCGTTCCCGGACTCCAACCGAGTTTCAAGATCATAGAACCGTTATCCGAGAACTTAGGCCAGACTTAGGCCTATGCTACTGCTAAGTTCGATAGGTGTGAAGGCAAGACGTTTCCTGCTGTGGAGCTGCATGCCGATGGCTGGCACAGAACCTTACAAGAAAAGCTTTGACCACGCAAAAAGCTAAGCAAACCATGGGGTGCCAAGTTAACAAACGCCCATGTGTTCAAACAACTACGCAAGTTCAGTCTCATGGGAGAGAAAAACGATGCCAAATCCCCTGGCCTGGCCAATCACTGTAATCACTGGACAGTCACTGCCAAAAGGTAGCCAACAAAAATATGGAACACTAAGAAACAGAACTGAAACCGCGATGCAGACCGTTGTTTGTTTCCAGTCGTTTCCTGATTCCCCGCAGATCACCATGTGCAATCCCAGCAAACCACCCAGCGAACCACTTGCCCGCCCAGCGCACGGGATGGGCCTGATGATCACCGAGCCTTCTACTTGGAAAGGTCGGGGGTAGAGCTGATCTGACCTCGCTGATGTTGAGCAGAATTATGTCCTTTTGGGAAGAATAGAGGGGTCGATTTGGTACCATGTTGTTCACTTGGGGGTATCCCGTCTATAAATCAACCAACCGATAGTGAAAGGCCATCTATGATTGAGTACTTCACCAACCAAAACAGTCCGACGGGCGCCCGTATCCATACTGGCACACACCTACTACCGTAGAGCATCCGGGAATTCCAAGCATATCGGGTCGACCGACAGAACTATTATCCGACGAGTGCGCTTTTCGACCATTTTTCGACCTAGTAGCGTCCTTGCTCCTAGTAGTACGGCCAGGAGCCCCTAGTAGCGTCCGATCGCTCCGTTCGTAGCGATGCCATCCGAATTGAGCTTTAACAGTGCAGGACTTGTCCTAGTACCATAGCCCTTGGAGTCTTCACTCGTCAGGCTGCGTTTGGCGAGGCGAAGGGACATGCGGATACGGATAGGCTATTGCTGATACCGTTTAGGTGGAGACCTTCAAACTTCCGCAACAATTGCTCTCAACAAACCCAGCCAACGGGTGCATGGGATTGCAACACCGTCTCTCAGCAGGATTGATTGAAATCGTCTCCAAACCTGTCTGTTCCAAAATTTCTTGTCTACTCCGCAGCGTCTGAACACTGAGATCAGCACTGACTAAGGATTTCGATATCCTCTTGCGTGGCTGGCCACAAGACCTGAATGCGTCCCGCGGCTGTGCAACCAAACATTGCGTCCCACCTGTGGTCTGTGGTTCATTGCAAGAACCATGTTGTTTCAAGGTCCCAGGTCGATTGGATGACATTGATTGGGATAGACGAAGAACTGGTTCTGTGGGAAGACCCAGCCAACACCCCGCCCACACCGCCCCTACTCGACACCTGGCCAGTGGTCGTGCGGCTTCGCACGATGACCTGGAGCGGAAGCCCAGAACCCGGACCTCAATTTTGATAGGAAAAAAACACATGTTGGGTGGTTGGTGGTCCAAAAAAAGTCATTCAGGTTCCAGGTGTATGTATATATGTGTTTTATTCCCTTTAAATTTGGTCTCGATCAGCCATTCTTAGACGAATTTCATTGGAACCAGTGTGCTCGTCAGCTTTCCGGTGCGGAACGGCTCCCGTTCCGTCGAGGTGGAACATCCCAGCTGACGCGTCAGGTGAAAAGGCCTCCGCATATCTTACGCATATATGATTGAATTCGTTATAGTATATTACATGATGATCTAATTTATATTTGACCCGTCTCCTCCTATGATTGTTATCATACCTTGTTCTTCAAAATACAGCCATCCCATCACATGTCCCAGGTTTGGCAAACAAACCCCCTTGATCCCCCAACATCGTTGGTATGTATATACTTCCCCGCAATTTAGACCAAGATTGCTATTCCTTTTTGAAGGCCTCAGCATGGACCCATGGAGAAATGTCACACAACAAAGGACCGTTGGGGGTCCGGCGCCGTGGAGAAAGCAACCCTTTTGAAGATCAATTGCTGCCTTTTGAAGCGAACCCGACATAAATATGTTGCATGTTAAAAGCTGAAACACGTGATCTCATATTGTTACCGCATGTTGCTCTTCAGGAATTCGGGAGTCCCACGAAAACACGATGCATAAGATTCGCACAAGGTATGTACGCTCTGGTCAGCAAACGTGGTGGCAGCATGTTGCAGCCAGCTCTTACAGCTGGTAAATTTATCTAGCGGAAACTTTAAACAGTGAAGGCTCCTACCGCCGCCTCGCTGGCACGCCACACTTGCTCTCGCCTCTCCTCACTGGCCAGCTGCTCCTCCCGGGGTAGCTTGCGTGCAGGCCCAGTGGCAAAGATTGGGCTGCCCTCGGGTCCATAAAAGTCGCCCGACTCGGCTTCGGGGTCGCAACAGCAGTGCAGCAAACCCAGGGTCCCATCCTCAGCTGATTGCTGGAAGAGGGACATGGCACCAGAAGCACCCTTCAAACGCTCGGAATTCGGCATGAGGCTGGTGGCGCACAGACCAGGATGCGCACACAAGGACTTCACTTTCAAGGATTTTTGACGGATGCGGTCATCCAAGGCATAAGTGAAGATGAGATTGGCCAGCTTGCTGTGGCAGTAGCGCTCAACTCCAGGAGGGTGGAAAGTGATCATTTGCATGAAACTCTCTGCGTCACCGCCTAGTTGTCCACTGTTCTTGCCGTAGTACTTCACGTCGAAAGGCTCCTTGTTTAGGAGGCGAGCGCCACTGCTATGATTCACCACTCGTGCTTCACCTCTGAGGGAAGCTGCAGTCATCAGCAAGGGCCATACTTGTTGGGTGAGGAGGAAATGTGAGAGGTGGTTGGTCTGCATTTGAGGGTCAAAGCCATCCACTGTAGGCTCATCAGGAAAGCTAGAGATGCCCGCGTTGTTGCAAAGCACGTCGAGCCCTTTGGAGCTCAATTTCTCGATCAGCTCCGCCGCTGCCTTCTTCACGCTTTCAAAGCTCATGAGGTCGCATTCAATCATTGTGACCAGAGGGCTCAGGGCCTGCACTTCTTGCAAGGCCTCATCAGCCCTCTTGGATCTCCGGTTCAACATGAAGACCTCAGCCCCCAGCTCAGCCATGGTGCGGGCGAGCACCAACCCAGTGCCTGAGGTGCACCCCGTGATGGCCAGCGTCTTGCCACGCATCGCCAGCGTGGCCTTGTACTCCTCAAAGAGCCGTGTCTTTGGCTGGCCCAAGGCAGCACCCATGTCGAATTGAAAGGTCGAGCTTTCGAACAGACCTGTTGAACCTGTTCGCACCTGCCCAGTCGACTTGAAGCAAAATGGCAACATGGAAGATGACAAATCTGCCTGCGAGACACCAATTCCACATCGTTTCGCTTCCACTCCTGTCAGGTTTGTTGCCGCTTGTCTTCCACCTGATCGCCGCACCTCTTTCTGCTGCTCCGCCACCGCGTGGGGATCTCTCAAACGCAAAGGCGCTGGCACAGGAGGGGCCTCTGCGGTGGAAGGCGGCGGTCCATGTGTGGTGCACATGTGTCACTGTTCCCAAACACTCACACGGAGCCCTGACAGGAGAGTAGCAAGAAATACACTCCCTGGAATCATCATGGTTATGTGGATGGCACCTTTGGTTTGGTCTGGAGAAACTCCTCCTCGTCCGAGTCGAAACTGGAACGCCATACCATCCCATCCACTGCCCGAGAATTCCAGGGAGTGGGGTGGTGAATCAACAAAGACAAGGTGTTTTAGTCAGCGGTATGTAGCAATGTAGCACCAGTCCTAGGGGTGTCTGTGAATGACAATGACAACTCCACGAACATGCATCTGGTTGACCCACTATGGCGATGCCCGAGCAATGTACCACTATAGGACAAGGTCTTCTGCCGGTGCGTTGCAGGGCAACCTTGCACCGGTGTTCACCTCAAGAAAGGCTTCCCAACCCCTGTGTCATGCACCAGTTCTGCATTAACTTTCAGGTTCACTGACAAGAGCCCCTAGCCCATCCTAGCCCTCTATTCCAACTCACAGTGACTGACTCATCCCCATCCGGAGACATGTGTTGTATCTGGCAAGCTTCTCCAGATATCAATCCGAAAACTATTGATCTTAAACGCTTAATGCATTGAGTCCGTTCCTGATTTTTGTTCATGGTTTTTTTGCCAAGATCCTAACAGATTCGTCCCGCCTCCGCCAATCTCTCGGCAGCCTGAGGGCTGCAAACGCAGGAGACATCCACTTACACCTTTAAGCATAGGTGGGTTCAACATCCCAAGGGCTATGTTTAAGGTTTATGCCGAGGGGGTGTTAAACAATGTTAAACATATTATAGACAGCTGGGGCTGGAGCAGGACGTTTGCGTGTTTACCAACGGGCGGTTAAACAGGCTGAGTTCAGGTTCGATGCTTTAGATACTCATCACCGACAGCTTTTGTCCTGGCCCATTGGTTGGTGAATAGGGAGGGTCAACCACAAACATGTTCTTCACAGCCTACAAGTAGTCAGGTAAAACTACCTGCTTGAAGGAGCCAGGCAGCTGATGCTGATGTGACCAGACTGCCACGTCTCATCGGCGTGGCACATTTGGCACCGTAGGAGCTGTTGGGGGTGCACCTCCCAACATGCCATGTCCAGCAAATCTGGATCTGCAGAAGCATGCAGAAACCAGTTCGGGCGTTCGATCATCTCTTTAAAGCTACCAAACCGTTTTCCGCTGGTTTTCCCAGAGCCCCTGGCAACCAAAGACATTGGTTATACCAGTTATACCTCTTAAAAACATTGGATCCATTGTGACAACTACTTCACCGTGATCCCCGCCCACACTGGACCACCGCCACTGCCTCCTGGAAGGCAGAGCTATCAGGGAGCTCAGTGCCATGTTCTTTCACATGGTCCTGGTCCAATCTCCAGTGCTGAAGATTGTTACATTACTATTACTTGTCTGTCAGGCTGGTTGGTGGGTAGGTTGATTGGTGGACGATAGGTTGGTTGGCAGGTCGGTTGACAAAAATCCAGGCAGCTTAATGGAACGTTTGACCGTGTCACTAATGTCAGGCAAAAGTGGCATGGCTGGGAGCAAGAAGAGTGTATCCAGAGCATGTCTACAATGATGTACAATTCTTGATAGACTACCATCCGATATCAACTAATTATGTTTCAATGACATTCATATGCATAGACTGCATAGATCGAAAAGGTGTTCGATATTTGCTTGCAAATTATTGCAATCAGCTACCGTTAACTTTTTTCCTGTTCTTATTCGGCAAAATGAGGCAAGTGCCACACCCGTCATTCTCGCTTCTTCTCCTCGATTCGTCGTTCCACAAAGCGATCCTCCTGCCTTGGCACACAGCGATCCACGGTGCGGTGTGGGGAAAGGGGTGGGCCGGGTGTACAATTGAAGTCCCTTTGTCAAATTGTTCGTAAAATGCAAAACAAAAAGGTGCCAGCATCTGCCGCAGACCAGGCTACACGTGAAGCTCTTCACACTTCTGGCTCAGCTGGGCTTTGGTCGTTTGCTCCACAAAAGGAAAAAAACATTTGGCAAAAAGGCTGCAGTTCATGGACATAGCAACAGAAGAGCATAATACCTTAGCAACAAGAATACTTCTGATCGATCTTCTTCCAGGAACTCGATGTCGGGCTGCTTCATGGAGGACAGGGTGGGGTCTTCATCCGCTCGTTTGGGAAAAGCCTCATCCAAATCTCTAGGCCCCAAGTGACCTCTCCACCCGGTCTGATGGTGCCTGATCGCTCGCTTTTCCACGAAGTCTCCCACGAGTGTACGCGTGACGCATGGCTCGCTCCACCTCCTTGAGCACCGAGGCTCAAGAAACCAAGTGCCTAAGGCCTAAGGGACACCTCGGGGAAAAACAAAAACTCAGGTTGACCACAGTCCTGAGGTCCTGGGTATACTCTAAGGTGTCAGTCCGGCACCTGGGTCTACTGTGGCACCTGGGTACTCATTATATTGACCTCAGGCACTTGGGTATATACTATGGGTCAGTCAATCTATGCCAGTTTTTCTGGGTCGTGTCCCTGTCGCGTTTCGGCCGATCTCTCCGAAACCGCCCCGGGTCGAAACCGCGTCCGAGGGGCTGGAGGTCCATCCAAGTGGTCGTGTCCACTGGCTCCAGCTGCGCGGTTGACGACGATGTAACGGATGGAGCGCAGAAGGAAAGAGGCCATCCGTTACTGGGGCTCCAGCTGGAGGTGTGCTCAAGGTCTGCCAAAGTGTTCCTGTTTGATGATGTCTTGCTCTTAGTGGCTTTGATGCAAAAACCATTATGGTTTTGGTCAAAGAAAGAGAGAACTGTCTGTCTTCTATGTTTCTCCTTCCGGGCATTCAGTGGGGCTTCTTCGCATCTCCTTACCTGCTTGTGGGCCACTACGTACGTCACTAGTTCAGTACTCGGACAGTCTCGGACAGTCGCTCTTCTCTTCCTTTCTCCAATGGCCATCGGACGGGCACCATCCGATGCGACGCAGGCCTTGGGACGCTCCTCGGCCTTCTGCACGGTCGACTCTGCCTTGGGCGATGACCGGGAGACACGGCGTGGACCGAAAGAACTGATTTAGAAAATGAGTTTGCTCTAGAGATGGTCTGAAAAGCATGCTATAATACAGTAATTATTAATATGTTTAATATTCATACTGATTGTTGGGCCACATTGGTGTGAACTTCCAACTCCCTAGCAAAGGCGGATTTGTTTTGCTCCCGAGCTCGTGAACTCCGGGCTATGGAACAAAACAAAAAACTGGCCAAGCGGCCAGCAACATAAAGCAACACCCCGTTTCCGAAATGGACACGACATGTGCGTTCCGAAACACATCTGGTCTGCCCTTAGATCCGATTTCCGGCTCACGGAAAGCGAGTGGCTCACTTGTTCTTCGAGCATCTGCTGTGGGTGAAACAAAACTCCGATGTCATTCACATGGAAGTGCATGGCACCACCTGTTTGTAGAGAAAATCGAAAGATGGTCTTCCATGGGCCTATGTTCCACGTAACCATGGATGATTTCAGGGAGTGTCGTCTGCATGGGATCAGAGCAGTTCCGTTTGGCCTTGGTTTGTGACTGACACGGGCCTCACTCACATCATGAGGTCGGTCTCCCCGTCCGCCACCGGGGAGGCACCCAAGTCTCCAAGTCTGCCAAAGCACCGGCTTCTCTTGCAGGGAGCTGCCTCGCTGAAGACCGAGAAAAGGCAAGTTGGAACGACGAGGCGGCGTTTCTCGGGGCCGCGCGGCCGCGCGCCCGCGACCCAAACACCGGTGGATGGACTTCTTGATGCCCTTCAATGCCGGGCAGTGCCAGTGTCTTCCAAGATTGCCAAAGTACACTCCGAGGAAAACTAAAACTGGAAGTGGAAAAAACAGGATCACCACGATCCATCATCATCACGGGTCCATGTACACTCCCAGAAATGATCCTGCTGACGTGACATCGTCATCCCCCCCCTGTTCTTCCGAACTCGGGGCCGTCTTCCACGGGTCCCCTGAAATCCGAGGGAGTTCAGACTAGATGGTCTGGTCCCCTAGGCCGAGCTCCTGGTACTTGCGAGGTACGCGCACCGCAGGGTTCATGCTTCATGGCTGCATCCACCGGTGAACACAGCCATGCCGGGAGCTTCGGAGGTCTGGTCTGATCATGAAGCACAGGATGATGTTCCTTTCTTTCAAGCTCTCAGAGGGGTTCAAGCCGGGCTGTGAACACAAGCAAGATGCATCGTATCTCGCTGGCAAGGCCCACCAACGCGATGCACTGACTGGTGCACTGAATGGCAGATTCGTACGTTTGATGATACAACAAGTTCGTACGTTTGATGGAGAACATCCTGCACCGCTTTTGGATGCCTTATGCATATTTCCCCCGCGTCCTGAACCTTTTGCTTCCACGTCCTAAATGAAAGCTATGAAGGGTGCACATGCTGCACCACCGGTCTTCGCAACATTGAAATTAAAAGGTCAAAGTCTTGGATTTGCTTCGCTGGTGCAGGATTTCAGCCATCCACCGTGGGAAAGCTGTACTGCTTTCACCCAAGGGGCTAAGAGTGACTCTTCGGAGTAAACTCCCAAGGGCAGTAAAGTGAAAAGGACAGGAATTGGGAATCACTTCGGACTTAGTAAGACTTAGCTTGGACCTTTTAGGACATGACTTTCACCAAAAACCGGAGGATCCCCAATGTGATCAGCAACATCCTTCAGCAGGGATGTTCAATTCAGTGTCAGGAACAATAGCTTAAGATGATTGTACCAACTGCAAATTTATCACACAAACAAAGCATTGCTCCAAGCTTGTGCCAGCAGACCTTCCTGCTGGCACCTTCCCTGCCCGCCTCCATCGCCTGAGGCGCTGAAAGCCCGCGAGACCAGCGGATGGAGCCTGAGATCGTTCAATTGCGGCTTGTTCAGTGGTTTCCACTGGTGTGTACGCTCAAGCCAAAGGGCACGGTATCCGGTGCATATGTGATGCTTGCCGAAGATTTCTTGCAAATGTTGGTATTGTAGCCAAAAAGTAAGTATCTCCAGAACAGATATCATGGAGCAACCATATTATAACACATCATTATATAGCGCAAAAGTTCGACATACTTGTGACATACTCTTACTTGCGAGTAGTCAGGACTGCTGCTGAGAAAGATTCGACCCCCCAAACAAACAGCAGGTCAGTGGTCACCTTTTGATTGAATCAACTGTAGCCATTGACATTGTTTCTCAGGAAAAAAAGTACGGCATAGAATCTTCAGTCTAGCGAATGTCCACTACATTTGTCGAGTGTTCTGTACATCTTCGGGAAGTTGTGACAAAGCCCATGTTTCGTAGCAAAGAAACAGGTGTGGTTCTGACCGCCACTTGGGACGACCGCAAATCTCCAAAGCTGTAACTTATAGACTTGGAATATCGGCCCCCCCCTGAAGGTAGATTGCAAACTTGGTGCAAAGTCACTACGGAAAGTTACTACTTGAGCAAGGTTTAATGGACCGCCGCTAGGGCCTGAAGCTAGTAGCAGCCAGAAGAGTTCGCCCCTACCAACCCTGCTCTGAGGGCTGAAGCATGGGATTTGTTCCGTCTGTGTGGGCCATGAATGCTTCGTTTCCTGGTTAGTGCCCCTGTTCTCACGCATGATGTCACATCAACTAGTACAGTAACTTGCAGCCATAACCTCCAATGAAAAACACCACCCTCTTGAAGCTGCTCAAGATCGGCCCAAATACCGTGGTTTCAGAGTAGATGGCGCCATCCCCAAGTTCGGTACCTTTGATGGACCCCTTGGTCAAACACCTCGTGCCAGCCATCGAGCCTCTGCGCCAGGCGCCACGTCGATGTAACATGGAGACCTGGCCGAACGAGCCGAAGGAGAACGGGTGTCTGAAGCACCAAACGTGATTTGACCATGCGGACCCATGGCCAAAGGACGACGTTTTGGGGGGGGGCAGACCGCCCCAAAGAGACGCCCCAAGAAGAGGGTTTGGGGGAAGCAAGCTTGAAAGCCTCTCAGCAAAGCCCTGCTTTCAAATTGGAAGATCCCCGCTTCCAACCGGATTTCGATAAAAAGAAAAACAACATGGCAGTTTGGACTCGGTCTCCCCCAGAGGCACCATGCGGACTCCTTGCTCTGCAATGCTTTCAGATGCTCCCCGGCTAAGCCTTTCGGGGTCGGCTGAGGCCATGGAAGATCATGGAAGATGGGCCTTTTTTCATGGAGTCGTTGGACCGTGAATCCATAAGGACACTGAACCTGAAGAACGCGATGTCGGAAACCCAGGCAAAGCCTCCTGACAGGGGCGGTGTTCCTCTTCAGGGAATGTACTGAGGTTTATTGACACCAAAATGATGTCATAATTATTTGCATATAGTGCTCCCCAGATAGAAACGGTGTCCAATACATTCTTGGTGGGGATCACTTTTCTATCTATTTGGGGGTCTCTATCTGTGGGCTGCAGTTTTTCTGCAGTTGCAGATCTGTAAGGTGAACCTGGACCACCGCTGGTCGAAGACCGGGCCCGACCCTGATCGACACTGGAAGACCCTGAAAACCCTCTGACTGGTTAGGGGTGGGCGTCCTTCCCTCCCTCTACCTTTCCAAAAACCTTATTTTTGGGCCGGGTATGTAATTATTCAAACCTGGAAACCTTTTTCCAACAAATTCTTTGGGTCTTGGGTATATCTATCACTTGGGCATGTCTCTATTTTCAGTCCTCCCAGTTTGGACCCAGTTCAAAGGACATCGTTTTATACCAAAACCATCCAAAACCCATTGGTGATGGGTCATCCTATTGACATCCAGGACTGAATGATGGTGGCAGGGTTCACGCTTAAGGATTTATCATTTTTTGTTCATCAAAACCCATAGGACTGCCGCCACCGCTGGTGATCATTGGCCTGGAACCCCGTGCCTGACCGCCATGGGCTCTTTGACGAGTGAAGCTGTACTCTGTTGGTTGTGGACATGCAAAAATGGACCTTCTCAAGATGATGTCGTCTTTAAAAAAGAAACAAATGTTCCATGTCTACTATATGTCTACTATATATATATATATAGTCTAGTGTTAAACAGAATCATAATCCCTTAGAGAGCAATATACGTGAATAAATAAATGTCAACAATTATTACACATACGTTTCCAACATCGTACAAAGCAAGCACGTGTCATTCAAAAAAAGATCAAAACCAAATCACATCTTATTATATGTAGATCAATTGACAGTCCCTGTAAAACATGTTTTGGGCGCGCACTGATTAGGGCTGCAGAGGAGCATTTACTTCCTTAGTTCTGGGAAGGATTCCTTCTTATTAGTGTCATGCTGGCATTATGCTATTTCACCGCTGCTGTCATGGACGAACGACGATTGCTGCCACTACTGTTACTGCTTCTCTTGTTACTGCTATTATTGTTGCTATTACAACTTTTACTGCTGCCAAATGCTACCACCACCACCAATTATTTCTGAAGCTTCTGCTGCTACTACCACCACTACTGCTGCTATGCCACCACGCTTTGCCTCTGTGACTGCCAAATGTCAAAGGAACCCTCAAAAGCCTCACTTCTTGAAACACCTTGTCACTGGTGGGAATCAACAAATGAACTATTCCTGTTCAAAGATTAAGTCACGTGCTATACTTCACCGTAGGTTCATTGGAAACTGTGAGACAGTCATGTCAGTGCTAAGAGCCATCGTGCTCACAGTCTATCAACAAGGTATCTTTCCAGCACAAAGTCTTGATACCTATGCTTTTTCAAAAGTTTCGACCAACAAGAAATAGTTACGTACATGGAAGCACTTTCCTACATCCCGACGCAAGTTGCTTCAAAAAAGGGTGCCAGTTTGATACATCAAAAAATATCTAGTTGTCCGTGATCAATTTTCAGCGCAATTCTGCTTCGATTTGAGCAACACATGTGGTCTTATGGTTAGAACACCCTGCAGGCCTGCTCCGGCTGAAACGCCCGTGTCACATATCAAAGCACCGCCACACAAAATTAACCTACCTGCAAAGTGTACTATGACGACACACTTAAAAGCATTGAGGATTTGAACGGTGCGAGTCATCATTGACGTGGGAGAACCTTTGGATGCCACCTCTGGGCACAATTTTACACACAGCTTGTGTATAAACAGTATTAAACAGTGTGTGTCTCTTGACATCAGCGCGAAAGCTTGCGTGACAACTGAAGTAAATGCTGTGGAGACTTGTGCCAAAAGACAAAGCACAAAAACACAGATCTCAGACTGTTCCCACAAACAACCACACAACCAAAAACCATTGCTTTGGACACTATGTTCATCCCACATCTGCTAGAACTAAAGGGGAAAAGTTGTTTTCTGGGTTGTATGTTCTTTGACTAACCTGACAAAACATTAGTGTCATTGTTTGATTGTTTGTTGGATTTATGATGATTTATGTATTGATTGTTGGCCTATTTTTCCTAGCAAGGTGTTCATATATTTTTCCCGGTTTGTTTTGATGAGAACTTACACTCACGTGATGCATGCTGCATATAAAAATGAAAAACAAATAGATCATATTGCTCACGCAGGATTTAAATTAATCAATAATGCATCGATAATTCAATAGTTCCCGCAAAAATCAACCAATACTCGTGCAACTTGATCTTTTAATCGTTGTGTTTTTTCGATCGGATCATTTATTGGAGGCTTTGGCCTAAACCCAGTTACCAGTAGTGGTTTCTGTCGTCAAGAAGATGTGGGCGTCGGGTTTGCCGAGCGCCCTGCGACGCATGGGCGCGACCTCCCTCCTCCTCTTGTCTGGTGGTGGCACCTGCAACCACAGGTAGCTTTGTTGAAATGCCCCTCAAAGGTGTTTGCCGAGTGTGCGCAGGGTTTCGCGTATGAAAGTCTGTTCCAGAAAAACAAAAAAGGGTTGAGACCCCTCAGAATCGAATCATGGTAGCGTGGGATGGGGTCCCACCGGATGGAAAAAGTGGGTTCAGCGGTGCCGCCCTGGGTGCCATCCATGTTCTTTCAATCTGCAATTTGGCCGTCGGCATCAACGTGTTTGTGCGAATCAAAACCTTTCGGTGGAAGTGGTGCAAGTGGTTATTTCAAGCGCTGTTTCCAGCCATAGCCACACTGAAATGAGTATAGTCTAGTTACAGCATGCGTATGCAGAAATTTGGGAACCTCCCAACCCATCAGTTGAGTCTGTCTATTGAAAACTCCATGGTTTTTATGGCGTCGTCATCTATTCTAACACACCTGTTGTTCGGGTCACGACTTGCGGTTTTCTACATGTTGGGTGTCTGCAAGGCTGGGCATGGTTGGGCTATGATGTGTGTTTACACAAGGCACCCTGAGAGGAAGGAGAGACCTCCATCTTGGCAAAATGTGGGAAGACTGATCCAGCAACAAACTGCTTGCATACAGGGTGTAGCACCACTCACGCGACTCCAGAAACGTCCGTCCGCGGCGCGCCCCGCTCTTCCAGTTCCGAGATCAACATTTCATCTGGGGATTGGGAAAGGGACCTAGAACTCGAGAATGGCGACTCTAAGTGAATTGCTGCAAGAAGAAGAATGGAAACACAACTTAGAGTCAACAAAAAAAAGAGTCAGCTAATTGCAAGTGGAAACACCTTTAGTTTTTGAATTCAACTCTCTTGGATACGCCCGTTCAAGGAACGCGGTCAATCTTTTGACTCGTGGCACTAGTGGTACGTCTTGAAAAACTCGTCAAACAGTCGAAGGGTCTCAAGCGCTTGAGCCAAGCGCTTGAGCCAACGCGGGCTAAGGAAAACCCTCTCGCCGCATCGAATGTGGCGATTTGGCATCGAAGGGTATGTTGGACCGGAAAGGGGCGTTCCTCGAGACCAAGGCCATTGCTTGTCTGACAGGCCTTCATTCGCGTTTGCAGGTTTCATTCTTGCGTCTTCCGATGCAAAAGACCGGGAGTTCGTGAAGGTACGATCCTGGATCAAAACTGTGAAGGTTTGGAACTGCAAGGGTGTTGGGGCTACTACTCGTGATGTGCACGGTCTCCTTGCTCCTCTATTGAAGTGGCCACAACGGTTCGCAACTGTGGCCGAGCGAGGTTCGCAACCGTCTCGGTATGGCCCCCTATTGGGAAAACCCTTGCAGGAGGTATTGGATGCAAGAATGACGTGTCAGTTTTGTGTATAGCGTGAAAACTTGACTTTTCAAGCCTGACATATTGATTTCCTGTGCGGTAAAGTGCTTCGTGAGGGCAGTCTTCTGGAGGTGTTGAATGTCGCCGTGCTTTGGGATTTGCTCTTGAAGGTGTCGCATCGAAACTATGTGTGTGTATATGTATGTATGTATGTATGTATGCATGTCTGTATGTATGTGTGTATGTACGAATGTATGTCTGTAAGTATGTATGTATGTAAGTATGTATGTATGTATGTACGTGCGTATGTATCTTTGAATGTATGTATGAATTTATGTGTGAATGAATGACTGTATGTATGTATGTATGAATGTATGTATGCATGTATGTATGAATGTATGTATGATTTTTTCTAAAGTGTCTTTTCAGGCGAGTTCGAGGGCTCTTTGGCCATGCCAGCCGTAGGCCACCTCTGCGTGAGGGTGTTCTGCAGCTCGTAGCCCAAGTTAGAAGTAGTCCACTTCCAAAGGGTCTGGTGTTGAGCTGGTTTCAGATTCTCGATTGCCATATCGTCATCATTGGCTTGTGAACTCTGTGGCATGGGGCTGCCAGGTCTGAAAGGTTGCCGTCTGCGCAATCCCTGCCATGTGTCTTCTGCAAGGATGTTGGACCCTGGCTGGTGGTCAGAGGGTCCAGGTTCCTTTGGCACACTGCTCTCCTCACTGTAGGTGAGCTGCCTCGGCGCTAAGGGTGATGCCGTGGTTGCTGACTTGCCATCTGTTCTCAGGGGCTCCGGAATTGGCTGGGTATCATGGCCAATCGGCGGTTTGTCCCTTGGCATAGATGTGTCAGTTGCTGAGTGTGTAGTGCTGGCGTTTCCTTCAGGTGACTGCTGACTGGCCTTTTCGGTTTGTCTCCTGAAAATTTCTGCCAGCGGTGGTGAGCCACTGATGGTCGCTCCTTTGCAGATCTTCTGGAGAGCGGCAGTGACAATTGGGCGCTGCTGTGCATCGAGCGGTGCCTGAATGCCACAGTTCTGGCAGTGCAGCTTTTCTCCGCGCTGCCACAGATTGTGGCTTGCATGGCCTGCATGTGGTTGGGTGTAGGCCTGGTTGATGCACTGACCTTGTACAAAGGCCTGAAAGGCTGCTTCATTTGTGCGTTTATGCACACTGATGCCACATTGGGCACATCTGAGGTACCCTTCGGTTTCTTCAAGGGTATGAGTGCCTTCTGCCTGCTGTTGTTCCTTCTGTTGTGCCAAGAGGTTGGCAATCACTTGCGCTCTGGTGAGCTTCTTTGGTAGTGGCTTGTGTGGGCTATGATGCTCTGGGTACTTCTCTTCCAGCGTCAGCTGTGGGCATGGCTGCACCAGCCTTTCTTCGATGTTTGAGACCGTAAGGGCTTGGTGGATTCTTTCTCCACATACTGTGCATTGGAAGCCACTTCGGTGTGGTTGCCATCGATGGTATGGAGCTTGCCAGGGTTTGTGGCATTGTTGCGCAGGCTGTTTCTTGTGCTGTTTGGTCTGACGTCCCTGATGTCGAATGGCCTTTTGGTGGATGTAGTGGTGCTTGGCTGCATAGATTTTTGCAAGTCTGGCTGCCGCATGTTGGTAGATCTCAGCATGGTCCTTGTCTAGGACGTCCTGCCATTCAGCAATCCCTTTGGCGTCGCTTGAGGTGTGGTTCACTGCCTGGTGCCTCTGGAGTGCTAGTGTTTTTGCTGACATAGAGCACGGTGACTCTCTGGAAGTCGTGTTCCGTGAGAGAGAGAGAGAGAGAGAGAAGACGTTGAAGCGTGGAGCGCCCCAAAGCAGAC